CTTCTCAGGAGGCTGAGGGGGAGGATCACCTGAGCCTCGACGTTTGAGACTGCTGTGAACTATGATCATGCCACTGCACTCTAGCTTGAGCAGCAGAGCAAGACCCTGTCTCAAAATAATTAATGAATTAGGTCATGAGACTGGGGGCCTGATCCAATATGTTTAGTGCTCTTACAAGATGATGTTGGCTCACGCCTGTAATCCCAGCACTTTGTGAGGCCAAGGCAGGTGGATCACCTGAGGTCAGGAGTTCAAGACCAGCCTGACCAACATGGTGAAACCCCGTCTCTACTAAAAATTAGCTGGGTATGGTGGTGGACACTTGTAATCCCAGCTATCTGGGAGGCTGAGGCAGGAGAATCGCTTGAACTTGAGAGGCAGAGGTTGCAGTGAGCCGATTGCATCACTGCACTCCAGCCTGGGTGACAAGAGTGAAACTCTATCTTTAAAAAAATGTTATGGGATCTTTGGGGTGTCACTTTTCTGGTCAGAAAACTCTGTGGCTGGTGGCACCTTTGCCTGAGTTTTGCTCGTGCCCGACGGGCTCATTCTGCCCACATGGCCTGCTATACTGTGCTCAGCTCACACCACCAACCCAGATCCCACACCTCCAAGTGAGATTGTGAGTCAGGTGTGGAGCAGCAAGGGGTGTGTGAGCAAGGATGGCAATCAGCCACTGTGCAGTCAGACACGCTGGCTGCTGCTGTGGGGCAGGCAGCTTCAGGTGCTGGCATGGGTGCCAGCTCTCTGTGAGGCTGCGGCTGGGCTAGGCACACCACAAGCAGCTTCCATGGCTGGCACTAGGGAATGCGGTGGTGCCCAGAAGCTTGGAGACGCCAAGAACCACAGGGCCCCAAAGAGGGAGTCACAGCCATGGCTCAAGGATCTCCCAGGTCTGGGCTCCTTGAAGGACTGAAGCTCTTCTCTCTTTCTCTTCGCCCACAATGTGGTGAGCAAGGGGCATGTTTCAGTCCTGTTTGTGTTACAGCTCTTTCAGCCTTGCCATTCAGCAGGCCTTGAGTTCTTGTCCGGCAGCCAGGAAGGAGGAGGTACGCAGACAAGCGAAGGGTGAGCAAGATGAAGAGGGGCTTTGTTGAGTGATAGAACAGCTCAGAGGAGACCCACAGGGGGCATCTCCTATCTACAGCCAGGGTGTCCCTCCAGTGTTCACCTCCCAGCACAGAGGGCAGCTCCTCTCTGCGGCTAGTTGTCCTGGTAAGTGTTCAGCTCTCAGCAGGGAGGAGGCCCTAGAGTGGCTGGCTCCTCTCTGCAGGCGGGTGGTCCCCCCATCTGTTCACCTCTGGCTAAGCCTGGGGCTTTTATGGGTCTCAGAGAGGAGGAAGTGCTTGCCAATTGGTTTATGGGTGGCCATGGGCAGCCAGGAAAAGGAACCGTAAGTTCCCACTCCCAGTTCATGGGACTGGCAGCCTGGCCCCCAGCCTCAGGTCCTCCCTGGCCTGAAGGTGGGGCCTCACCAGGGACCTGCCCCCTTCCTCCCAGGAGCCTGTCTCTTGCCACTGCCCATGGCGCTTAGGCTGCTTACACCAAGGGGCACCTGTAGGCCAGCACCGAGCTGCCCTCAGGCCCCCTTTGGCCTCTCCCTGCACTTGTTGGCACCAAAGTCTGGAAGGTCTGAGGCGGTGGGGGCTGGTGTGTCAGTGCTGCCCTGAGCACATGTACATCCAGCTAGGCTGTGACAGTGCCTGAGCTCAACTCCAACGGCGCTCCAAGACTGGAGTGGGTGCTGGGAGCAGATATCCCCAAGCCTGTGAGGGGAGAGGTCCTACCCAGGCCTGAGGATGCAGAGTTCAGAGATGCCAGGTCCTGTGCCTGGGGGGGCAGGGCCCCCACTTGCTTTGTGGAGTGTGCAGGCAGCCCTGGCTGAAGCCTCCTGGCAGCCTGGGGTCGGGGCTCCAGGTCCTTTCATGACCTAGCTTTGGAAGTTACACAGCTTCGTGTCTGCTGCATTCTTTTTTTCTTTTTTAAATAGAAACGGGGTCTCACTGTGTTTCCCAAGCTTGTCACAAACTCCTGGGCTCAAGCAATATTCCTGCCTTGGCCTCCTGAGGCACTGGAATGACAGGTGTGAGCCACTGTACCTTTCCTATTTCTACTGCATTTTTTTGGCTACAGGCAAATACAAGTCCACCCAGGTTCAAGGAGCTGGTGTCAACCTCAACTCTCACGGGAGAAGTAGCAGTCATGCTGTAGAAGAGAATGTTCAATAAGAGATACTGCTTTTGCTATCTTTGGAAGCAAGTCTGCCCAGATCCCTGATGTCCCCTCCCATTATAATATCAGATTGAAGTCCAGGATCTCGTCAAACTCTGCTACAGGTGCAGACGGGGCTCTGCAGGGTTGCTTCCTTGGACGCAGTTCCTGAGGTGCTATTTCTCCAAATCTGCATGCCTGTGAAATATGAAACAAGTTATTTTCATCGTACACACCCATAACATAACAGTGGGGCAGACACAGAAAAGCTGTCAATACTCTTACTCAAAAGTGGTGACAAGAGGAGGCACACAGTAGCCGCTGTTCCATAGAAACCCTCAAATCCTGCTGGGGTCCCAATACCAGTTGAGTGATTAGGGTTTGGCTCTGCTTTCTCGGAGTTCTCCATGGCTCTTTGTTCTACTCTCTGGATCTTGGTTCTGCTGAGTCATCCATTGTTTTTCATAAAATGTGAACATGTTTGCAGTTGAGTATCCTTCTCAACCTCCTTCCTGAGCAAAAAGGTTGAGTTCAAATACCTTTTTTTTATACAGTTTGCCCTATCTGTCAAGTTAGAATCACTGTTTTTAAAAGTGTGTGGGATTTTTATCTATCTGTGTACAACCCATTCCACTAAACAAAAGCCACATCCCAAAAATCTCCTAAGAAATAAGAGATTTCTTCCAGCCGGGCATGGTAGCTCATGCCTTCAATCCCAGCACTTTGGGAGGCCGAGGCAGGTGGATGACTAAAGGTGAGGAGTTTGAGACCAGCCTGACCAACATGGAGAAACCTCGTCTCTACAAAAAAAAATAAAAAAAAAAAAATTAGCTGGGCTTGGTGGTGGGCGCCTGTAGTCCCAGCTACTCTGGAGGCTGAGTCAGGAGAATCACTTGAACCTGGGAGGTGGAGGTTGCGGTGAGCCAAGATTGCGCCATCCAGCCTGGGTGACAACAGCAAAACTCCATCTCCAAAAAAAAGAGAGAAAAGAAGTAAGACTTTCTCTACGATGGGCTCTCTGTGGGCCTTCTGTGGGACCTCACCCTTAAAATTCTTAGCAGTTCTGTTGCTTATGAGAGAGGGCCCGTGGAAGCATTCCCTCAAGTCCTTAGAAGTCCTTTCTGATTATTCATTGAAGAGGGTCAGGAGGTACCTATTTAGATCTTTCTGAAATCTTATGAGGGTCCTGTAGCCAGCCTTGGATTGCATCTTTTCCCTGAAGAGCTTTCTTACTTTACAAGCTGAAAAGACTGTTCTGGCCCATTTAATTATTTCCTCCATGGAATGGTTCACTTTTAGTTCTCTTTCCTCTCATTTTATTATAAGCAATGAGAAGCCAGGTAGCATCCTGAACACTATGCCTAGAAAACCCTTAGCTATATCATTGAGGTTATTAGGTACATTTTCTGTTTTCCATTTATAGCAGGTAACAGTGTGGATAAACCTCCTGTCACTGCATAACAAAGTCTCATTTTCTCCATGTTTCAATGCTTTCCTTGTCTTCCCTCAAGCCCTCCCTGATGACTTTTGGACTCTGCTAACCCTCCCCAAAGCCCATTGGGCTTTACTGATATTTTCCTCAAGGGCCTTTCAGATTCTGCTCATCATCCAGTGCTAAGTCCAGTGATGCAAATGAGTAGCACCCCACTTCCAACACTAAATTTCTATTCCAATCACTGCTATGGTCTAAAATATCACCTCAAAATTTATACCACAAATAGCAACAAAGGTGGTGTTATCTCTGATGGTTTCTGTTTGTCAGGAATTCAGGAGAGGTTTGACTTTATCTCGGCCTTTAACAATGATGTTATACTACCTACAGCATTTGTATGTACCGTATCTCAGCCTTTAACAATGAAATTATTTCAGCAATGTCCAAGTTGCTGACTCTGATGCTCCATCTTGAGATGTGATCTCAGGGCTTCAAGCTTGTCATTCTCATGGTCTAAGATCTGGCATGATCAAAATCAGCCATCTCCTTTCCTGTCCCAGATTTTCTCATAAATTTAAAATTCTTATAAGGCCACAGTTCTTCACTGTTTCCAAAATCTCACCATCAGGGACTACAATGTTCTAGGTGTACAGAAACAGTAACACCATTTCACATGATGGGCTAAAAGTTCCTATCTTCAAATATAAATGTGATTTTCTTGTCTTGGGGGAAAAAAAAAAAAAAAAACCTAAATCACATATCCCGCTTTGCTAACTACACCCTACCAAGGCAAAAACTTACCAATTAAAGCCCTTAGGTTACAAGAAATAGAAAGTCATTCTCCTCAAATTAAGCAAAACAAAACAAAACAAAACAAAAACCCAAACAACAAAAAGCAAAAGACATTTTTATTGAGAAGTGAGGAAGCACACAGATAAGAGAAGCAGGTTCTAAAGGGATAGCATCCACAGTTATTCTTGCAATCAATTTGCCAGAATGAATGGATGGTCTCAACAGAATTCTGGGACAAGAATGAATGAGTTCTGGCCGGGCACGGTGGCTCAAGCCTGTAATCCCAGCACTTTGGGAGGCCGAGGCGGGTGGATCACGAGGTCAAGAGATCGAGACCATCCTGGTCAACATGGTGAAACCCCGTCTCTACTAAAAATACAAAAAATTAGCTGGGCATGGTGGCGCGTGCCTGTAATCCCAGCTACTCAGGAGGCTGAGGCAGGAGAATTGCCTGAACCCATGAGGCGGAGGTTGCGGTGAGCCGAGATCGCGCCATTGCACTCCAGCCTGGGAAACAAGAGAAAAACTCCGTCTCAAAAAAAAAAAAAAAAAAAAAAAAAAGAATGAATGAGTTCTGACATTTTCTGGTTCATGTGTGAATGAATTACAGACTCCAAATTCTGAAAAAGAGATTACCATTATCCAACAATGGGTAAAATGCTCACCTGTAGCTAGTGGAAAGGATACCTGAAAGACACCACAGGAAGCACCCCAGAGAGGGGAGGTATTTCTCCAGAGAAAACAAGGGAGCTCAACTCAATTAATGGAGAACACACACACAACTGCCAACATATAATAAATGTTCATTACAATGAGTTTTCTTAAGCAGCAGCTCTGTAATAAACCGCCAGTTCTGCTTATGAAAAAGAAATAAAAAGACAATTAGTATTTAATATGGAAAATACTGGGGGATGTTATTCCACAAACTATCAAATATATAGAGAGATATAGAACAAGTTACATTAAAAAATAAAATACTAAAAATTTTAGAAATGATATTCAGTGTTAACTCAGGGAAGTCACATTAAATATCCCTTAACTTTAAGAATCTATTCCCTGTGGTTTTCCTGATCATTACTTTATTTACATATTAAAACAAACAAACAACCTTTAAACTCTACCATGAAAAGTCAACTGTTTATAACTGAGATTTTATTTTATAAAAACATAGCTTCAAATCTGGAATGTGACTTTCCACGGAACACGCTTTCCATGGGAAAATGCTTCCCTAATTTATTCATGTGGATAACTTAGAAATGTGGATTTCTTAGCAAGAAGAGGATACTCTGGTATTCTTTACCAGATTACCTTCATAATAGGCTACAACATTTCATACATTTACTGCTCCTCATTCCTTCAATTATTTTCATCTACAAAGATTTGTAACTCATTTCTGAAGGCTTTTACACTCATCCCAAATATGGCTGATTTCTCTCCTACATGATTTTTGACATGAGCGTAGTTTTAGGGCCTCCTGCTTGTAAATCCTGTCTCTGTTATCTAAAGTCTCCTGAAATCAGCTTCTGTGACACAGTTTCTCACATGTGCGTCATTCTGACTTCTCATTTGTGAGTCTTCCGATGTATACGAAGCCCTGAGTTCCAACAGAAGGATTTCCCACATTCAGAGCATTTCCATGGTTTCTCTCCTGTGTGAACTCTCTGATGTTCACTGAGAGACGACTTCTGAGTGAAGGCTTTTCCACATTCACTGCATTTAAAAGGTTTCTCTCCTGAATGAGTTTTCTGATGTATCTGCAGTGATGCCTTCCTAGGATAGGCTTTTTCACATTCATTACATTCATAGGGCTTCTCAGTTGAATGAGTTCTCTGATGTATAATCAGCTGTGATTTCCCACAAAAGGCTCTCTCACACAAACCACATTCATAGGGTCTCTCTCCCGTGTGTGTTCTCCGATGTATAACAAGGTATGACTTGCTGCTGAACGCCTTCCCACATTCGCTGCACCCATAGGGCTTCTCTCCTGCATGAGCTCTCAGATGTGCAGTGAGCTGTTCCTTCCTACCAAAGGCTTTCCCACATTCACTGCACTGGTAAGGATTATTTCCTGTGTGGACTCCCTGATGTACGATGAGCTGCATCTTCATATTGAAGGCTTTTCCACAATCGCTGCATTGATAGGGTTTTTCTCCTGTGTGCATTCGAATGTGAACAAGGAGATAGGACTTACTCCGAAAGGCTTTCCCACATTCATCGCATTTATGGGGTTTCACTCCTGTATGAGTTCTCTGGTGCACAACAAATGGAGACTTCAAACTAAAGGCTTTCCCACATTCACTACATTCATAGGGTTTCACTCCTGTATGGCTTCTCTGGTGTAAAATAAGCTGTGATTTCCAACTGTAGGCTTTCCCACACTCACTGCAACCATAGGGTTTCCCTCCTGTGTGAATTTCCTGATGGACAATGAGCTGTGACCTGAAGGAGAAGACCTTCTCACATTCACCACATGAGTAGGGCTTTTCTCCTGTGTGAACTCTCTGATGAGCATTAAGGTTTGACTTGGCACTGAAGGCTCTTTCACATTTACTGCATTCATAAGGTCTCTCTCCTGTATGAATTCTGAGATGTACAATGAGCTGTGATTTACAACGAAAAGCTTTCCCACATTCACTACACACACAGTTTTTTTCTATGCTATGAGCTCTTGGATGCTTAAGAAAATATGGTTCTTCATAACCATGAAACTTATCAGGATTCTTTCTTAAACAACTTCTGCTTGAAGCTGAGTTTTGGGTCCAACTTTTTCCATGTGTGTTATAGAATCTTTGTCTTGAAGAATCATGGGTTTTGCTCAGATTAAGTCTTCTCAACACACTACAAGCATAGCTCCTTTCAACACTTTCAAGCTCATCTTGGTTTTGCTGGTACCATTCTTCCCAGCCATCTAGAAAAAAACAAACAAAAGATAACTTTTTGAATCATCCCATAAACCTGACATGGAATTAAAGAGCTTTAGGGCTGCCATGTTATCAATCTTTCTCTTTTGATAACCAGCACACAACACTGGTTCAAAAGAAATATTGGCCAAGCATGGGGCCAAGGGAACGGAATCAAAACAAACCAAAACAGGCCTCCCCATGAAAACTGGTGGCAAATTACCAGAAACCAAAAACAGTTTTCAAAATAGGTTTAAAATTGGCACTTGGATTAGCTGGGCATGGTGGCGGGCACCTATAATTCCAGCTACTAGGAAGGCTGAAGCAGGAGAATCATTTGAACCCGGGAGGCAGAAGTTGCAGTGAGCCCAGATTGGGCCACTGCACTCCAGCTTGGGTGATGGAGTGAGACACTGTCTCAAAAAATAATAACAACAATAATAATAAAGTTGGTACTTGGAAGCCACTTGCTAATTATTTTATATCTGAATTTTATTACTGCAAGATTTTACCTAACTGAAAAATAAATTCATAGGATACAAAATAACTATGGCATGACATTTAGGTAGGGTGAGAATGAGACATTAAAGATGAAAATGGGGCCGGAGAGGTGGCTCACGCCTGTAATCCTAGCAATTTGGGAGGCCGAGGCAGGTGGATTGCCTGAGCTCAGGAGTTCAAGACCAGCCTGGGCAACATGGTGAAACCCCATCTCTACTAAAAATACAAAAAATTAGCTGGGCATGGCAGCATACACCTGTAGTCCTAGCTACTCAGGAAGCTGAGGCAGGAGAATTGCTTGAACCCGGAAGGCAGAAGTTGCAGTGAGCTGAGATCATACCACTGTACTCATCCAGCCTGGGTGAGACTTTGTCTCAAAAGAAAAAGAAAAAAAAAGAAAAGAAAAGAAAATTAACTCTCCAAACAGAAGGAATACCAAGTACAAAGTTCCTGAGGAGGAAGCCGGATTGGCAGGGTTTAAGAAACAGAAAAAGGCCAGGACAGCTAAAACCCACTGAGTGAACGGAATGAAAGCAGAACCAAATTACCCTAAACCACGGTAAAAAGTTGTTTACATTTTTAAGGCTTTTTTTTTTTTTGAGACAGGGTCTTACTCTGTCACCCAGGCTGGAGTGCAGTGGCTCAATCTTGGCTTGCTGCAGCCTCAACGTCCTGGGTTCAAGTTAATCCTCCTGTCTCAGATTCCTGAGAAACTGGGACTATAGGCACATGCCACAATGCCCAGCTAATTTTTGAAGTTTTAGTAGAGATAGGGTTTCACTTGTTGGCCAGGCTGGTCTCAAATTCCTGAGCTCAAGCGAGCTGCCCGCCTTGGCCTCCTACAGTGCTGGGATTACAGGCGTCAGCCACCATGCCCAGGCTAAAGGTTTTTAATTTCAGAAAATCTCAGTCTTCTGCATTTAAAAGATCAGTTGACTATTCTGTAAAAAGTGAATAATAAATGAGCAGAGAAATACTTTAGAAAGCTCTTGTAGCAGTGCAGGATGAAATAATAATTTGAACTACACTTCTTGATATACTCAGGCTGAACTGTAATCTCCAATGCCGGAGGCGGGGCCTGGTGGAAGGTGTCTGGATCTGAGTCACATGGGTAACATCCCTCATGGCTGGGCGCAGACTTCATGACAGTGAGTTCCCGTGAGATCTGGTCATTTAATATCATGTGGCACATCCCCCCCGCCTCCCTCTCGCTCCTGCTTTCACGTGTGACATGAGTTCCTGTGAGATCTGGTCATTTAATATCATGTGGCACATCCCCCCCCGCCTCCCTCTCGCTCCCTTTCACGTGTGACATGAGTTCCTGTGAGATCTGGTCACTTAATATCATGTGGCACATCCCCCCCCGCCTCCCTCTCGCTCCCTTTCACATGTGACATGAGTTCCTGTGAGATCTGGTCATTTAATATCATGTGGCACATCCCCCCCCGCCTCCCTCTCGCTCCCTTTCACGTGTGACATGAGTTCCTGTGAGATCTGGTCACTTAATATCATGTGGCACATCCCCCCCCGCCTCCCTCTCGCTCCCTTT